AATACAAAAATATATAGCTTTAAGAGGGTTAGGCCTACCCTAAAATTAAGGAACGCTCGACCTCGACACGTGATAACGAAATGGGCGAAATCGCCTCTTGATATCACTAACTCTCCTGACTCCTGATTAGGGGAACACTAACGATGTGATGACCTCAGCGAAACGTTCCACCATAAAAGCGGGCGCTTTGGTCTTGACGATATCACTACCTCCCTGATTAAGGCCAAGACAGGTCGCACGCGCTTTCCCATGTCTCTCACAGATGTAATATATCTACTCTCGTTTGTCAGAGCCACTTAGGCAGCATCGTACATGCATTGCCGATCTGTTCGTTGATTTCGATTATATTCCTGGGTTCCTCTACTTCATTCACTCTCTTAGCAGTGGTTGATATAAAGGGCAGTGGCAAGAATTGCATTGTCCCATTCTCAAAGAATATTTATAGGACTCGGTAGGCACGAAATATTTCCTTCCACGAATTTCCAAAATGTCTAGACAGAGAAAATGAATGGCTTCAATCGCTTGGAAGAAAATCTATCCCAGATATGCTTTAGCCTGTTCGCATACTTTTTCCTTGGAATCCTGTCATGATCGAAACGCTATCAGGCGCTTGAAAAAAGATGCCGTTCCAACAGAGAATCTGGCCTTAGATCGAACGCAGCCCCCCACGTTCACGTTCGGGGCCTACCGGAAAATTTTGACCATTTGACGGTCTGACGATTCATTTCAACCAATGGAGGACCAGCAGGTCTCCTCATCACTTGAGAATGGAAACAATTACATAAAATCATCGTACCGGATGACCACGAATGCTCATTGCTTAGAGGTATAAATCCTTCGTCAGAAACTGAAGAGAGCACAGGAAACTATGAAGTTGAGATAAATTATTTTCTCTCAGGTGATGTCATGGTCTTACCTGGTTACCCATGCCAAAGGCGCGCACAGCTACCCTGTCTACCTACATAGCATTTATACCTAAAAGTGCGAGGCGTTTCGCCCCCCAAAACGCGTTCCTGCCCAGATCTAAGAGGGGTCTCTCCGATCCCCCTTGGATAAGACAGACAAGTGCGGATGTTGCAATTAAATGAAAACGGATGACCTTTAAATCCTTGAAAAAGGGATGAAAACGGCAAGCAAAATGAGAAGTGAGGATGGAGGAAGCATTCGGAGCAGAAAACTTCGACTAGTTTCTACCTTATTTCAGCTTTTTCCTCTCCCACTTTTTTCAGAAATGGAGTCTTGGAGGGAGAAGGCGGGGAGAAAAAAGTGTTCTTTATCACTCCGTTCCACGCATTGCCGTTCGGTATTTGCTCTTTCTTCGTCTGAGGCAGCTCGTTGAGTCTGGCTCGGTGGCGCTCCTGAAGTCGAGCACGGGCCATCAGCACTGGGAACAGAACAATTAAGAATGGGGTCGTTATCCTTCTGGATCTAGATACAAACGTTTTTAGATGTGCGAAGGAGTGGAGAGACTGCAGCAAATGAAACACCAGATGAGTTAAATACCCTTTCCAACTCTATGGCTTCACTTGCAATTCAGGATGCAATGAGTCCATTTCTTCCTAAAATCTTTGGAGAGACGGGACATCGCTTCCGAACTTTGGTTCCCCGGTTTTAATTCTCTCATGCTAGACGCGAAAAAAAAAGGGAAACAGAACATACCATTGAACAGGAAAGCCTGAGCTTCCCCATCGACCTCTTGGGCTCCCGAGGATTTGTTCCTCGACGGCGGTGCCCGCTTCATCAGCTCACCTTCCGTTATGATGGCCATGTCCGTCCAAAATCTCGCGTTGTTCCACTTATCGAGTTTCTTGTACACCTGAGGAAGAACCAGAATCGAAACCGAAGTGCACACTATATTTTTATATATTCCCATCGATACTTCCAGTCGGCCCCACCGAAGAAGTTTTGCATGGAGTATTTAGAATTTAGTAAATAGGAGTACTTAGGTAATAAGGTTACTACAGTGGATCAATTCGCAAGTTTCATCGGAGATGAAACGATCAAATCTAAACACAGGGTCGAACAGTTAAGAACAGACAGGCCGTGATTTCCATAACTTTAACGAAGCTGGATGACACCTCCCAATCCGATAAAATCGACATATTTTCATCTCCCATGGGATATGAAGTAAATATCGTGAAGCTCCTCGCTTCTGGTCTCAACGCACGTCAAATCTCTTGCCCGGTGAAATCACACGGTCCAACAAAAAAAAAACCTTACCCTTCAAATCCCAAATAATTTCCTCAGAAGACTGGGAATCGGCCCATCACACACCTCAATATCTTGCCTGAGCTCCTCCAGCTCCTCGACGCTCAGTCCCTCGAGCTGGCGATACGGCACGTCCATCTCGGTGTCCCCTGCATCTCCACCCAACCCGACGTACTTCACTATTAGATCGATGGGCTTCGGTCGTCCGACCATGGGGCTAATCTTGCTGTGAAGGCGGGCCAGGTTCGTTTTCCATTTCTCTTCCTCATGCAGCAAGGTGCTGGGCGTTATAAGCTCTCCTCCATCCATCTACGACAGTGCGAAAATGCCATCGAAAGTGGAGAGTCGGTTCATGCTTTATCGTTTTTGTTTTAGTATCTGGCATTCTCATAGATACTATGGGGAAATGCCAGATATTGCAGTCAGTTTGTCACTTTTTTTCATTCTTTTTTTTTATATTCCGTTTATCCTTAGTAACCATAGTGACCGGACAACACGACCCAATGCGCACGCGCAGCTTTCCGCCTGGGTCGGGGAGCCTGTCTTCCACGAAAACAACCGCTTCCCATCCAGCCCTGGCGGCTGACAGATCCATGGTATACAATGGAAGAGAGCAGCTGCTCCCGTTCGCGTAGACAGGGTTGCTTGGCGTACGCGTGAAATGAGCATCTGGTATACGACACATACTCTCCTCTCATCTCCACGCGATGCCGACGCGCGAACCATAGGTCCATGCCAACCAATGACAGCCATTAATTATTTCAATGTTGGAGGTTTAGGATGCGGTGAATATTTATAATAATTCCAGTGGTACAGAGGCCAGTGGAATGCCAGATCTGTACTTGGGCTGGTACTCTCTAGTTTAGAAAGGATCCTGTATCTGACACAGACTGGTTGCATCTATCCCGGATGAAGTAGACCCTTTTGTCGAACAGAACCGAAAATTGTTAAAATTATTTTTCCGATTTTCATCCAAAAATTCACTTATGAAGTATTTGTAAAGGGATCTACGTTAACATCGTCCACCCGAATGTAAGCAACAGATTTTGCAGCTCGTGAAAGTAAAGGGTCGCCCCATAAAAAGATGCAATGCACCAGTAAAATTAGTTTGAGAATTTCGATATTTCCATGCAGAATGAAGTCACAAGCGTTTTTATCTAAAAGAATTGATAAAAAAAATCGACAGTAAATTATTCCGTCTAACTCTCCTCCGTAGGGTCTTCGGCCAGCAAACATCAGGGCGAAAGCACCTCAGATTCGCAATCCAGATCGATACCACTCACCATTTTGATCGAGAAGAAAAGCGGAGCGACCCGGACGAGACGAGAGGAAAGACGAGACTGACCGAGGAGGGCAAAGAGGAGGAGGCTTCTTTCCGCCTCTTTCCCTTCTGGGGATTTCCGCTTCAACTTCCCGGGGATTTCCACGTTTCTTTGTGCAGTGTTGCCCTCGTGCAGTGTTGCGGACGTTCTTCGGTCGCTGACGAGGTTTTCTAAGGGAACCTTTTTCTTTTCTTTTTATTTTTTCTCGTCCCATATTTTTTTCATTTCGCGTTCGTTTATCGTGGAATCAATTACTGACTTCAGGGGAAGCTTAGTTTTCTACTCAGGAACTTCGAGTTCTGACGATGTTATTTTTCCTTCGCTCTTCGTTTTAGCTTAATCAGACGAAATTAGAATTGCAGGAGTCTTATACCATCAAGAGCAAAAGTTTAACATTTGAATTTGTCGATTTTATTCCACGTGGAGGTGAGACAACGATAGAGGCAAGAGGATTTCTGAGAAATAGCAAAAAGCCAGCGATCGGAAGCCACTGGCAAGATGATTACAAAAATTTGTCCTTTACTGAAAAAAAAAGAAGTTTTGTCGTGAACGGAACTGGATCATCAGTTGCAAATTGCCCACTCTCTTTAGCCTTTAATGAGGGTTCTTCAGCGAACATTTTCGAAGGAAAAATCATAATCCTTCCTCGAAGTACGACCATGACAAACTTCACGACTCAACTAACCATAACTTTTAAGAATTCTAAGAACAGTGACCCAATTTAAACCAAGCGACTACATGATGATTTTGCTTTCCTTGATCTCCGCCCTCCCTCCTTTCCCCCCCTCCAAAAAAAAAGCCAAAAACAATGTCGAGATGATTGATGATGTGGGAGAATGTCCTGGTCCCTCGCACTCGCAAGCGCCGTGAGGGGGAGGAAGTTGCTCTACAATTACCGAATTAGGAAGTGGCGATGAACCTCATGACGTCACGCTCCTTTTTCGTCTTTTTCCGAGAATTACTTTCTAGAGCACGGGACCGAAAACTGGAAATGGAACGTGAGAAAAAGACGATCTCGGAATAAGAATTTCCTTTTGGACCCGAATGCCGACCGGAAATAATGCGATCGCGTGTGCAATTAAAAAAAATTTTGCATTTTTAGCAACGATGACGGTTCGACGCTCGACGTTTCGCTGGTCGGACGATGGCGAACATGGCGGAAAGGGCGACGGTAAAACCAGAACCGGAGAGAAAACTCGGCGGAGAAATTTCCTTTTCTCTGCTTTCTTCCTCCAGTTGGGAAATGACAGGCCAATTTCGGCGCGAACAGGCAGGTTGGCAGGTGTGGCGGGCAGGTGTGGCAAGCAGGTGTGGCAAGCAGGTGTGGCAGACAGATCGTCGATGAAAAGCTGATCGCTTTTCCTTCTAGTGGCAGGAGATTCATATTTCCCCCATTTTTTTCCATCACCTGAAACCCCGAATTTTATTTTGCCGTTTCGGATGGGCGGAAAATGCGACCCTCACCCTTTCCGTGACGAATTTTTGTGCAATGGAAATTTAATTTAAAAAAATATGTATATATGAAACATTATATGTGTGAAAATGAAAATGAAGCGGTATTCATGACTAAACCTCGTTTATTTACAAGAAATAACTTAGTGGGATAGGCTATGTCCCAATATAACACGAACCATAGCCATATAAGGGGGAACTATGTATAGAACATTTGCAATGGGACAAGGTATGTTGTAATGGGACAAGATATATCCCGCTGTCAGCGAAAGGGTTAAGGCTCATGTTCCTGCATCGCCATAACTCGACCGTTCCCATTTGCATTGAGTTTCAGAAATGTGCAGAATCGCCTGTTAAAATTTTTTTTACGAAAAAAAACTGAATCGTGGAAAGGTTAAAAAAAAAAGCAATTAGAGAGATTTTTTTAATTCCGCGTTTTGGTAAATATTTAGTAGAGAAAAAAAAAGGAGGGGGGGGAAGCAATATACATGCAAGTGAATGGATGAATCTCGACGGAAATGTCTTCACATTTTCTGTCGCAAAAAAAAAATGGGATCGAATGAGCATTGACAGGAGCACAAAAAAAGAGGACTTCTCTGCTCACGCTGAAACTTGTGTCAGACTTTCGGAAATTTCTTTTCGATTGCATTTGCCGAAGCAAGGCAACGAGCGATTACTTGAAAGGAATCGGGGATCGGAATCGGGGATTGGAAACGGGGATTGGAAACGGGCTTCTGATTCCTTGCGAGTGTGTCTCCGCCTTCGTCCTCTGACGAACGCCGAGGGGAAATCGAAATCGAGTTCATCTGCGGGGAAGTGCCAGCGCAGAAAATTAATTTGAATGGAAGAAAGTCGGATGCGGAGTGATAAATGCAAAAGACACGCAAGGGCGTGCGTCCTCCGTTTTTCTCCGATTTGGAAGCAGCACGAGCTCGAGTCCATTTTGTGTCTTTTCTGCCGTTGATCATGGCTGTAGCCCTGAAACGCATTTCATCGCATATATTAATAGTTTCTCTTGATTGCCGAACGGGGCCCATTGCGTGGCCCATCGATGGGCCACGCAATCGTTCCCACGCGACGAGAGATGGCGCCACCCTCTCCAAGAGACTAACCTTTCACCAAGGTGCAAATCCTGCCTAAAGCCACATCGGCAAACCGACGAAACGAGACTCATTACACTTCCTTCGCCTCGAATTCCGTCCATTCGCAGCCATCATCTACGCGGCCTTCTCCCTGGGCACACCTTGCTCCAATACGGTGGGCGCCGTTACTAGGAGGCATCGCTAGAAGGCCGTATCTCGACTGAGGTCTGTCCTGTACACCGTTGTCGCCTGGAAGGGTAACCTGTCAATGATTGTTGTTCGATCAGATTGTCGCGGATCGTCTCTTCTTCCGTATCGCGAGCGGCCGGATTGCCCCAGGTGGCATGGATTGTAGTTTGAGTGTGATCGCTTTAAGGCGGGGCCGCCACTCTATAAATTCCAAATTAAAGGTTGTTCACATTGTTAATCAGCCTACTAAAGTTTTTAGGGGATCACCCTGGTGTCTACATCTGGTCTACGACACGACCGCCAGTTCTTGCATGTGACTGCTTGCGGTCTGCGGACCGTCGACCCGCACCCTGATCTCAGATGCAGTACTCTGGTGATAAAGCGGACCACTAGGTTGGGCCTCGAAACCGTCACGATATATTTAGTATACCAGACACTAATATCTCAGTACATACTAACCACTCGCGCTGCAAGAATTTACAGAAAAACCAAATCGAAAGGTGTCATTTTCCGTTACCCAAGTTGTGAAAATTGAAAATTCCAGAAGACGAGCTCCCAGCGTCGGCTCGGTAACGTACAGCGGGAACGTATGATTTGAAAATGCGGCCGATGCGAACCAGTGGCGTAGCCAGAATTTCGTCAATGGGGGGGGGGGGGCGGATGCATTTACCTGTAGACCTGAGTTGGAGGGAACCAATGGCACAGGGCGCCGATTGGCTGCAGGATTATTACAAAATACAAATAAAACTTTAAAAAAATTGCAACTTATCCTGAATTTAAATAAATTAAACAGAAATTAATACGTAATGTATTGTTGGTGCTGTGGATGCTGGAGAGGTACAGAGGGGGGGGGGGGGCGAACTGGACTGATATTTCGCAAAGGGCGCCAAGTACCCTCGGTACGGCGCTGGGGGGAACCATACTTTGGGGTAGGGCTGAAGCCTCCCTCGCTACGCCACTGATGCGAACCAGCTGGACGTCACAACGGCGGTATCCAACCGGGCGACTGCGGGTTGAAAGCAGGTGATCCCAACAGGGAAGGTCCAGCAGTTTCAAATTCAACTCTTACTACCACGTCCAGCTAGATTTTCTGGTGGATGATGCAGATGTGGTTTTACCGTTCTAACTCATCAGTTTGCAAACAGTGGAGTCCTAAACTGCATCCCCGCTTGTAAGAGTTCAGTGTGAGCGTGTAAAAAATTTACGCATTCATGTCTCACATGTCCATTTCATTCAGGTTATTGTCTGCATTTTGCACAGAGAATATTTTTCTTGAACCAGGCTCATCCTAGATTCACAAGCTTTCAAGTTCAATAACCCAATGACCTCTTGAAAAAATAACCCAGATCGTGTGGCAGAACCTTAAAGGAGTACTTTGGTAAAAAAAAAAAAAAAATAAACAAAAAACAACAACATACATCCAAAGGGAATCATGGTAGTGGAGCAGCACAAGACTTTGCTGAGCTGAACCTGAGTAGCAGAGTTCACAAGTGAGCGAGATCGCAGAGGAGAAATGGGAAGCATATGCCTATTGGTTATAGCATTTTGCAGCTTTAGCAAAACTCGATGCTCCACAAAAGATGAGAGGGCATTTTATGCGTTTTCAGGGAAGGGAGAAAAAAATTTTTTCTAAAAGACCAGGATTGCTGTGCCTTGATTTTGGCAGATGAAATCCCTTCAGTGTCTCTTTTCTCAACATAATGCAGGATTTGCACCAGTCAAATTTCAGTAACACTTACAACTGGAACAAAGAGGTGGGTATAATAGAGGGGCTGTGAAGTTCTGTCATGCAACCTCCAAAGGAATCTGTGAGAAGCGCCAAAAGCACATGTGCATTTTATTGATGGACAAAGTAGCAGCAGCATAACCTGCTTTATGGGTTCCTTTTCAGTTTTTCACCACCTTGACCATCCAAATATAATAATGAGAATAATAACCATGGGAAAGATTACGACAATGGAGATGAAAGAGAGGATCACATTCGCATTGTCTTGTTCGAGACTCGGAGCTTCATCACAATTCGACCAGGCATGACTGCAACTCAGGAGGTAAACATTCCTGTTGTGACTTAGACAGAGGTATCTATCAATGAGTGTAGCACCTGAAACATGGAGGAGAGCCACCATTGTGCTTCCATGATAGAATGGGGAGGGGAGGGGAAAGTTAAATCCAGGTGGAAAAAAATCCCCTATCTACCATGCTTTCCATGCTTCCTGGGGAGGGGAGGGGAGGGGGGAAATAAAACTGAAAAATAAAGCTTTCATTTTTGTCTCCTCCTTGAGTTCACAAGTAGACTGGGGTCTCCTGTCCCGTTAGCAGTCGAAACATGGAGGTTGGCATTGTCTTCATATGGATCTGCAAAAGAATGCAACGGCTTAAAAAAACAGTCAAGTAGTGAAATACAGGGTGGCGCACGAAAAACCGGCCTGTCTCCGACCGCCTACCACGAGCGTGTACACAGACAAATTCCGTCACGACCGACTCCTCCTTGTTGCAACGGTGTCTGGCTGGCTATTCCAAAGTCTGTGTCAGTCGATTAAACAAATGCATTTGCATGTGTTTAATTTCCTGTACGGAGTCCGAGACCTACGCCCACGATGGCCTACGAGGCGGGCCGGTTTTTCGTGCGCCACCCTGTAGAATCGTCAGTTGAATTGAAGCCATGCAAAAATAACAGCTATCAAAAACTGAAGACGAGGGAGGTTTTAGATGAAAAATCAATTATTTTGATATTGGTTATGATTTGCATGAATTTTAACCATGGGACTTGGAATATCTAGATCCAGAGAAGTAGTAGTTCTACCTAAAAGTTCTCATAATAGGAGGCTGTGGAGATAAACACTCTCAAAAACTGAGAGTTACAGTTCCTTGAAAATGTCAGATTTGGCAATCACCATCTGCCAGAGTTCCCACAATATTGCTGAAGTCCTGGAAATGTGACTATTGACTTAAATTCCATATCGCATGTCACTTCTTCACTTCACACCATCGCAAAAGAACAAAGCTGAGTACCCTAAGAAGCTACACCTGAAACAAAGATAAACAACAAGGGATACTCACCTCTCCAACCGAGGTGGCAAGGAGATTCACAATGCGCTCATGAGGCACAGCCACAACGCTCTGGTTGTTGATCTCGATGATTCGATGTCCGACGCGAACCCCACCACGCTCTGCGATCCCCCCTCGCAAAAGGCTGCAGATCTGCCACAACGCAATCAGAACAGCAATGGAATAATGGACAGGTATGGGATTAATAAAACTTAAAGAGTCCACTTACCACTCCATTCTGAACAGAAAAGCCCAGCTGATACTTGGTATCGGGGCGCTTGATTTTTACTTCCACGACCGGTGGACAAGGGACCACAGTCAGTTTCACCACAGTTTGATTCTTGGCGTTCTGGTAGAAAGGGAGAGATCAACCCATCCAGCATGAGTGCAATGTTGACAAAGGGCTAGTAATCCCCTAATGCATCCATTATGTTTTTTAGCAGCAGTAATTTATGAAAGACTTCATCAGTCTCTCAGCTCCAGTAATCAATAAAAAAATAAATTACTTTTCAAGGATAGGTACTCATAAGTAAAGTACCGAATACTTATTTTTACATTTACATGCATTCTCGTTAAGAAATGAAAAATTACCACTAATACATTTTAAAAAAATCGAAATCCGGCCAACGAAAGGGTTAACCAAGATGCTGCTTATCCAGAACTCTAATTTTCCCAGACAAATTCTGTGTTACCGAGGGCAGGCAAGAAAAACTGCGCCTCGTTCGCAGGAACAGGAATGCCTCCCCCTGGGAAATATGATGAGAGAGAATGAATGGATGGAAATGTTATTCATGCAGGAGGTGAGGCAAGGAAAAATTCAACAAGATAAGGGTAATAAATGGGTTTTGTCAAATCAAGACATAGGGGACATAAGGATCGATATGAGGTTCCTCCATTATGGAGAGACAGGCACATGTTCACATCCAGAATAGGGATTAGAGCCTCGACCATGCGGCTTGCTGCCCCCATTCACTGCAGGTTATCGAGAACAGGACTTCATCACGGACTCCGCAAGCTTATAAGCGGGTCGTAAGAGGCTCGATCTATTGACCTTGATTCACTCGATTCTCTGCTATCATCTCGAATATGCTTAGTGAGCACGATCGAATGCCTTTATCGAGACAGTACTTGGAATACTCATAATGTGCTTCATCACGCGAGATAATTAAAACAGCGAGGACTGAAACGATTACTGAAGGAGCGGAAGGAAACGAATGGGGGTCGAACGAGATAATTCACAGGCCAAGGGAGGGTGCCGCCGACTGAATTTACACAGAACATGCAGCAATTTCTCGCGATGTAAGGGACAAAAGCAAAAGATTGACTCCAGCAGCTCATTTCCCTCTTATTATAGTCAATCTCCTCTCAATCCTTGTCACACCGTTACATAGTAATGGAGTTGGAGTAACAAGATTACATGAGGGGCGAATGGGTGCGGAAATCGCATTTGATGATGTTCGGAAACTCCCTCCGTAGTTTATCCTCTCCGGCATTCTGTATGTCCTTTTCTTTGCGAAGGTCTTCGGAAGACAAAACCTTAAGGCGAGAATAAGAAGGGAAATGGCAATGTTTTTCTCATTCCCCTCTAATCCCTTCCTTACCAGAGAAATCCTAGGGGAATTCACTTCGAGCCATTTCTCTTTGTTAGCTGTCTCGCAAACCAACCCCCCCCCCCCAAATATTGTTCATGAGCACAGGGAAAAGTTTGTTTGGCTGCAATATACATAATTCACTTCCAGTAGATTTAATTTGCCCGTCAAAACGTGTTCCAAGTCACCCCACTTTAGGGTACTTAGAAACAATTGTATAATATGAATAAATGCAAAAAAATAAAAACGCACCTTGATATACTGTTGGCACGTGGAGAGCGGGAGCCCGACGAGGCTGACCCCATTGATGGTGATGATCTGGTCGCCGATGTTGAGGTGACCGCAACGAGCAGCCGGGCCATTCGGGCACATGTTGGCGATGACCACAGTTGGAAGCATGGAGCCCCAACCACTCTCCACCACCACTACTCCTAAGATCTCTCCTTTCCCCTTAGGCACTATCACCTAGAACCAATATTGCCATCGGTGAAGCATGCAGACGTCTCTTCATCGCAGCCTTATATTGTCAGAATGATCCTAAGTGACATCTGTCAAAAAATATGCATTGAGGTGACATTTCTTGGATAAGGAAAACTGGCGGTGCATAAAATACAAAATTTCCATAGCTCACATACATACAGGGTGATTTTTTTATTCATGGGACCATTATAAATATTTATAATCTTGGAACAAATAGAGTTAGATGCCTGAAATTTCGCATCAAGAATCCATAAACATGGGAAAGTTATACCCTATGAAAAAAAAAACATGTTCAATGTGTCCTCTGTATGCAACCACCGGTCGTAGGGGTGAGGTGTAATTCTGCACAATTGCCTGCAGAGTATCCCGGGAAATGGATTAAGAGATCTTCACGTTCTGTAGCCGCCTTCAAGTCTCCAAATGTGCATGGATTTAACCTTGACTCGAAGACTTTGTCCTTTAGGTATCCCCAGAATCCCAGAGGAAATAGCCACATGGATTGAGAGGAAATGGTGGCCATACTAATCCACCGCTGTGGATATCAGGATATCTGCTAGACAGCATTCTGGTACCGGAGTTCTCGTGTAGGAAGTCTAACACAACGTTCGCTTGTTGGCATGCCACGATCTCAATCCATGTGACTATTTTCTCTGGGGATACCAGGACAAAGTTTTCGAGTCAAGGTTAAAATCCATGCACGTTTAGAGGCCTAAGGCGGCCACAGAACGTGAAGTTATTCCATTTTCCTGGATACCTGCAGGCAGTTGTGCAGAATTACACCACACCCCTACGACCGGTGATTGCGCACAGAGTAGGACACATTGAACATGTTTTTTTTTCATAGAGTATAACTCTCCCATGCTTATGAATTCTTGATGTGAAATTTCAGGCATCTAACTCTATTTGTTCCAAGATTATAAATATTTATAATGGTCCCATGAATAAAAATTCACTCTGTAGATGCACAACAGGAGGGACAGGAAGGAACTTTGTTTCACGCCCCAATAATTCAGAATTTATTCTATATTTCCCTCTTCATTGAGCCTTGCTCACGCCAACTACATAGCACAGCATAAAGGAATTGCAAGGAGTCAAGAAAGTCATAATGACTTGTGCTGTGAGATACACTTGCAGCAAACTTTTCTATTAGAGAACAGATCCAGAAATAATTCAGAAGGGCAGGTCCGCCCAGAGGTTTCCAGAGGCCCGGGAAAAAACTAAACCGCAGGCCACGGTATGGATGGGGAAGGCTGACCCTTTGGGGACCTTGGCATTGGTTCCCATTGGAGGCCCCCTTGGGGCTCCTCGATAAGCGAGGCCCGGGACAGATTATCCCCGATGCCCCCCCAGGCCTCTTCTGTGCTGGCCTGGAGAAGGGCAACAAAGTGGTGCAATAATGGAGAGTTAGCCTCCGCTAATCCCATCTAAACATTTGGGAATGAAAAGGTGAAAACATTCCTTCCTTTGCCCCCCCCGACCTCAGAAAACCTGGTGCACCTATGTTCACATACAGCAAAGCTTTTTTGTTTTATATGCAGATTTCTATCAGAAAGTCTCCTCTGTTAAAGACACACCATTCATCACTGAAAAAAGATTTTAAAAAAACTTCACCCACCTCTTTCTGATTCTCTTTCTTGGCAAACATTTGGAGCTCATCCCCAAAGATTTCCTGGGAATTGAGAACTTCCTGATAATCCATGTCCCGTACAAAATTGTGATCCTCGATCCCATTTGCCTTCAGGAATTCCAAGTAAGCCACTTGAAATGCCTGCCCTATGCTTTGTGCGATGAACTGGGCCTGCAGAGGAATAAACACACAAATGCTATGAAACAGAATGTGCATCCAGTTACCCTTAATGTAAATGCAGTCTCTACATACATACAGTGATTGATATCACAACTGTATGAAAGAAAAGCTCTGGATATAGCAGCTGGTCCAGCAGGAGTGTGGCCATACCAGTACGTCCTGCACCATCGAATTCAAATTGCCATATTTGTACAGATGCCATCAGTTTGAGCTTAAATTTGGAGGTTCCTGAATGTGTCTCGCTTTATTCAGTACTGCCATCTTCAAGCTAGTAAAAACAGAAAGCAACTGAGAAAAAAATTAAATACTAACTTTGGGGCAGTTCGTGAGAGAGGGTTTTCAATTTCCTACTCTAGAGAAGTGAAAATCATGATACTCATGGAATTCAATGTATAGAATAAAACTTAAATTTTACGAAAGTAATTTAATAATAAGGTAATTTACTTTCATTTGAAGATGTAATAGGATGCTGCTTCACACATTGGAGGAAAGAATCTGGTTGGTGAAAAGCTACTTCTGTTTACTTTTTGTTTTTCTATCTATTACATTTCATTAGTACTTTATTATAATAATACCACACCCTGAAGCACTACTGATTACCCAAGATTACTAATGTTGAATTAAAGTTATTTCGACATACTTCCGAGGTAAAAACTGTTTATGTTCATTAAAATAAAAAATTCTGAGCTGGAGCTCATCTGCAAAAAAAAATCACCCTTGGGGGCATGGCCAGTCAGAAGAAAACTCACTGCTCTGTGGGTTAAGTTTTTGGCATCCAAATACAAGTATTTTGAATATGTCAGCACAGTCAATTCAAGTCATTTCCATCCCTTTGCATTAAGCCAACACAAGATAACTCAGGTGTGGATGCCAAAATGTTGAGGGGAATGGCTCCTTGCTGGTCTACAGGGGAAAATCACAGTAATTTGGCATAGTATCTAATGGATTGACATTAATCACTGTGTTCATATGATAGTTCATGAATGGACAATGATGATCTCATTATTAAACATTATCCTCATTCAAAGGCAGGATACAACATGTTTCTGTGACATGCCATGCATAAGTACTTTTAAGATTCATTTTCATGGACTTATATTATGTGCAAATTGCATGTGGACTTCAATAGCAAGAGATTGACTCCGTTTGAAGAACAGAATATCCATGAGTGCTACACAGACCTCTTCACTCTCGAAGACATGGCAGATCATCTTTGGTGTTTTGGCAATCCCACTCTCCCCACCAAAATTGGTGATCCTTCGACGAGCCATCAGTACCACCAAGTCTCCAATGTCGGCAATGTATGATATGCTCCTCAGGGCGTGATCCATCATGATTTCCTGCTCCACACACATGCAAGCAATAACATCATACAAAGGCTCTCAAAATGGATAGAAATGTTTTCACTCCAGGATGGCACTCTTACCTTGAGATCAGTGTTGAGCACCATGATTTTTTCAGTAGAGATGAAGAGGTCCACCTCTGTGCTTGGCTGGGACTCTCCATCTGGAGCCTGAAAAAAAAACACAGCCACTTTCCAATCATTTTCACTTTCTGTGAAAAACGGTCACAAACTGAAGAAGAAATAATAATAATAACTCCTTCAATGTAAGCAATGAGGGAGTTACAAAAGATTATCAAAATGAAAATGTAATTTTTCTGTAGGGCATTATCACAAAAATATGTGCAAGATGGGTCCCAAATGATAAAATGGCAGTGTCCTTTAATGTTGGGTGAATGCAGCAGTCTTACAACTTGAAGAATGCTATGGAGGGTTCTCATTTTGTGAAAGGGACCTGTACTGCATGCATGAAAGAACAAAACAAAAAAGACTGAGTTTCAATGGTAGAAATAGGTAGGACACTCACCAAAGTCTGTGCATGAGAGCAGAAAAGAAGACAAAGGAAGAAAAATAAGAACAGGGGCACTCAAGGTTTGGACAAATACAGATGTCATATATTACAGACAGACAATCCCAAAAGCAACTGATTTCTCTCAGTTAACTTGAGAGCCATTTTTCAAATCAAGAATGCCATTAGCATCTCCACATCATCTTCCTTCTCTCATTCCATATGAGTACCTTCTGCAAGCCACATCATCTCGATCATAAAGCTTTGTGTGTCCGTGTGTCCCCCTCTTAACAACTACATCTACACGTATAATAAGTAATACATTAAGGTCTTAGGCTTGTTGACTATTTCCGATATTCCATGTTATCAAGGAGACCCAAATGCAGTTGGGAGCAAAATCCTGTAAATTCTCATTTCTCATTTCTTGGTAGAATGTTAATCATAAGAGTCCCATACAACCTCAAGAGCAAAACTAAAATTTCTTGCATTCATATTTTTGAAATTTAAAATTACATGGCACATCAAGCATGACTCGCAGAAATTTTCATAACTTCACCACATCAAACTAATAAAAGCAAATAAAAAAGGAATGTTATTTGCAGTATGACAAGTTTCCTCATGTCTTGCATTTCCCAGTTGCAATCAGGACTCCATGGACATAGAAGAGAGTGGCATGTCAAGGCAGTACTGCAACTTCTAAAAAATAGGGCATTCCATACTACAGGAATCAAGACTATCAAAGACGAAATTATACTTAAGATTATAGCAGAAAAAGGTGCAAAAATCCTTGATAATGAACCAAAATGGTGTCACAGGAAATGCAAGCAAGACTCAGAGGTGCAAGCTGGAATATCTGGAGGAGCAACACAAACCTGAATGGCCTGCAAAATAGCAGACACTTGAGCCCTTCTGTTTGGCAGAGGGAGATGGAGGGGAGGATCCTCCATCTCCAGCGTACACAATAGACGGCCCGAGAACATTACACCTTGAATGTCCCGTACAAATTCAGGGCTCTTGCCTTGCTGTTGGGAACACAACTCTACATTTGTCTACAACTAACATGACTATTTGAGATGATATCAAAACAGCTTGTGTGCATTTCCTGTGCCATACCAAGAACTAGGAAAGATGGAAGAAAAAATATTAAAGCACCAACATAAATCATACATGCTGGAATGAGGAATGGGGTAGAGGGGGGGGGGGGGGGTCAACTTTACACAGGCATTACGCTTTAATCTGCAGCAGACCTGTAAATGCAGAGATAAAATCATTCTCCTTCTCTTCACTCACTCAATGCTATGGCATCGCATAGGAAATGTTAGTCATTGGCCTCAAGTGTGAAACTTAGATTCAAGGTTGAATGCTCTTCCCAGCCTGTCCCTATTCAAGATAAATACCTCATAGAGATATATGATTTTGATGGGAGAATATCTGATTACTAATTCACTACTTACACAAATATTGCTCCAGGCACCCGATCTCTTCTAGAAAAAAGTATTAACATAAGGTACAAACACTACATCACCTTCATTCTTCACATGTGCTATTCTTTGAGTTTAAAAATGTTACTAGGCAACTTTCAAGTTTTACCAGAGGCTTACATAGCTTGAATAAGGCCCCATTACTATTTTAATAAAGTTGAAAAATCCCATAATGCAGCAAGTTTTCAGATGCACTATAAAGCTAGGAGATGAAATTTATACTGGCACAGTCACCTGGTTTGACAGCACCATTTTTCATAAAACTCTATAACAGCCTATATGACTCATCATTTATTTCCTCTTTATAGTTTGCACTGAAATGGTAGAAAACAGCATGGGTAAAACTTAAAAAAAAGCTTTACTGTATGTATGGCAATGTGTACATTGCTATAACTATGGCTTGAAAGGATCAGTTTTAAGACAACAGGGAAGCAGTTTGAATCCATGAACACAAATACCTTTTCCATTACACACAACAAAAACGAGCTGCACTCATCTTGAGGATCCCTGTACCTACCATTCCCTACAACAAATGTTGCGATCACTGATGTATCTTCACTGGTAGAAGAGCTTACAACTTATGTAGTATAATGAATGGTTCTTCCCCTGAAATATTAGCTATGACAGAAGCCCTCATGCTCAGAGGTGGAAGATATGAGAGCCTCAGACTATAAAAAAGACCTTTCAGCACCAATGAATGCTACTGCCAACATGGTACATTTTCAAAGGACCACCTAGCACTTCAAGGTTTCAACCAAGAGCCAATCTGCTGCCCCATCTACCAGTCAGATTGTCAGCCATCAGGATACATACATAAATAGGAATGAATTGCCAGCATGGTGCATTACCAAAAGGAGTATATGGCATTTAATTCCATTGTGCTTTTAACTTCTCAACTATCATACTTAGGTCTACATGACATGGCTTAGAGATGGCACAGTGGCTGCTTACTATCCCTAACACATAATCCATACATTTAGTCAGACAAGCTGAGGTACTGATACTAATGGTGTCTCTGAGAGAAGAGGAAGAGGTGTGAATTACAATTAGGACTCTATGACTCTGTTCTAAGTCTCTTTTCATCAGGCCTAATAGACCATACACTAAACCAGCAGCTCTCAACATGTGTGCCTCCACACCCAAGGGTGCCATGGATGTTTCCAACTTTTTCTTCAGGCCTGTCAAGACAAGGACAGGCCTGAGGACAAGATGACCAGAAGGCTGTAATGCCCCATTACTGGTGCAATGGTGAAGCACTTGAGGAAGTAGGCAGCAAACCTCTTCTGTAGAACTGCTGTCAAAGAGAGCACTTCCAATGCTAGCTTATACTCTTATTAACATGGTGCACCAAGAGTATGCAATATGAATCAACTTAGTTTTAAAAAAAAAGAACTTGTACTGCATTCTCCTGAAATAAGACTTCATTACCCCTTTGAAGAGTAAGCCCATATATTTACAGGCAGATGCTATCCTGTCCTGGAGAATCCCACTCCTCAAAGGGTTATGAGAGTTCCATTAGAGAAGAATGCCAACATAAATATTGTAGATGCCAAGATTGCTTTTTCCAGGTCTGCCTTATCATATTGAGTAAATGAAAAAAAAAAGTTCAGGTCCCTTTGAGCATTACGAAAGACTTGGGATTACTTCAAATACTGAGCCATGTCCAGATTTTCTATGCAGTCAGCAGGAGGTACAGGTATCCCAATTAAGTGAAATAAAAGAATGATGAGTTTGAATTAATCTTGAAATTACTGTCTTGATCAGTGATAGTTTAGAATATAGCTCCAGGTTTAACTAATTTTTGATTGGGCTTATTTTATTGTGTAGGGGGGGGATGTACATGGGTGCAGAAAATACCTTGCTGTTCAAAATGCATGTCTTTGCTATGATTGAGAAATACTGCACTAACCAGCCCATGTTGGCAACATGACTCATGTTCATTATTAGGTGTTTTCTTGTCTGCATGAAACTAGATACACAGAAGACTTCATTGGGACATTTAGTTATCAAGCCTATCTGAGAGGGTGTCTTTCAGTCAGCTGGCAGAGTCTAATAAGTTGTCCACCTGTCCTCCATTCACTTTTGTCTGTATGCTGTCCTTTGCATAGCAAGTTTATCCTGCCACTTGTCTTCAAGTCTTGATGCTGCCTATGTCACCCTGTTCTTTCTTGACAGTGTCTGATTTGAATCATAAGTTCTGTGATAAGTGTCTTGTGCTCTCAAAATGTCTACCAATTCAAAGAGAAAGAAATCTATGACCCAAATGCTTTTTCAGGCAACCATGTCAGAAGTGGTTCTATTGAGAATGAGCACAGCACAGACCTGAGAAAGCAGAGTGGACCCAAACTCCCTTTCTTTGATTATATGTGTTAGAGAGATTACATCATCTCATGACCAGACACAACTCAGAAAAAAGTCATGAGTGGCCTCTTCAAATGAATTTTAGTGGAAGGGTAGACATCAGAAAGGACATTAGAAGATAGAGACTAGATATGTAAATAATTCTGATTTATGTCACTAACATTGAGGATGCACATATGGTTTTTTTTTAAAAAAAAAAGGATGTAAAATAAAAGCAAATAAGGAGAGAAGAAAGAAAAGAAGAAATACTGAAAATTTTAATGCTGACCTTGATTCGAGAGACAGCTTCCTCTGCCTGGATCATCCGAGTTGACTTGGTTGGCTGTCCCTCACAGACAAGCTGTGTTGACCCAAGATACCGGGCTCTGAACAACACTCCCTCTATCAGCACTGCAGGGTCATGCAGAAAGCCTGAGAGAAAAAATAAGGGAATCTCAGGATGATGGGCAATGTGATGCTTGCATCAGGTTGCCTTCTATGGTAGTACTTCTTGCATGACCAGATATGAATACTATGAATGAGTAACTTGTATCAAATAGGAATCCTCATTTGGAGATGAAACACATTCAGTTGCAACCTTGGTCATGATTTGAGTCCTAATTACACAATTAATTTAATGCTATGCATCAAAACTTGAGTCATAACTGAATGCACCCAGACTGAAACCAGTCCATGCCACAAGCTCAACAGCAAAGGAGCAAAACTAAAACTACATGACAGAGATAAGGATAGCACACTTGAGTGTACTGAACACCATGCGACATGTGAGGTTGGGTTGCTCAATATCAAGTGTCGTGTGTGTTCTACACACAACAATGGTCTCTACTCAGGCATGTTTTAAACAACACAGTTCAACTGGGAAAAATTTTAAGAGGTCACATGGTGACATTTGATATTCCTGTGCTCAACCTTCTGGGGAAATGAGGGGGTTATATTTCTTATCAGAGATGAGAGGTGACAAGGAAGTCAGCATGAACCAGGTAACCTTCTACACAGACACTTATGTCACTCTGTGAGTGAAGATGTTAATTTTCTACACTTCAACATTTACTGTGATGTTGCCATTCAACATTTTCAAATGACAATCACATTTGCCTAAATCTTGTCTTAGGTTACATCAAGGCCATTTCATCACATGGCCTAGAGTTTTACATAACAAAATCTACAAATAGGCCAAAGGAGTTGATACCAGAAGGAGCTACATCCTAATAATTAATGTTGAACATCTAATATATGCTCTTACAGATACACTTAGTTAAAATGGCTTCAATCTAAATCACATTAACACTCAGGAGAAATATATTTTGCATGAAGTACTCAGTGAGGGTTACAAAGGGCATAAATTATTCTTGCTTCTACTTAATCCCTTTTACTGCCACTGAATCCTGTCCCCGCCCCCCCCCCCCCCTCCTTCTCCTCCCTTCCTCAAACCAGTTAATAATAAGGGTTCAGGGTCAGACACCCAAATACTACACTAATGGTTACTGAGATCAACATGATCCACATCATCACCTGATGTGAATCACACATCCACACATTCTCTACCTAAAAAGTACATAAACAAATTTAGTCTTGTATCACAACTTGAACTGGTTCCCTCTACCTTTTTATGTGCATGTTATTGAAAGTCCTTAATGATTTGCAATGCCTATATATTATCCTCCCTTGTTACTCTCCAGGGAATACAATCCCTTTCCTGGGACACTATATCCTAAGTATTTGCAAGCAAGTTTAATCAAGGGTTCCAAATTAAACTCTTACTTGCAAACAGTTCTCCTATCAGTATGCCTAATTTCACCATCATCATCATCACCATCCAAATCTTCTTAATTTCCTAGATCCTTTTAAAATACATTCGCACATCCTTCCATCCCTTCAAAGAAACTAATCTTCAAGCTCTCCCAGACATTTCACAGGAAGAAAAATGCAGTATTGTGAGCAAGGTGCGAGTGACTCTAACTAGGCTAAATTACATAATATCCTTGATTCAGATTTATAGACTGTGATGGGGATGATGAAGGTTCTTCTTCAACATTAAAATTCCAAAGGAGCATCATATGCTTCAAGCAAGAAATACATAGCTTCTGTTTTGTAAAGCCTGAAGTCCTCAAAAACTGACATGCACAGCAGCTGACACATCTGAATCATGAATGGAAGCAATTCACAGTCTACAGGGTGGTTATGCCCAGACAAATTTCATTTCTTCCCTATGCTAATAGTACTAAGTTAGACACAGTTTCATACAAACACATACATATATACAAAAGAGACGGAGGAGTTTTTTTTTTGCTAACAGACAAGTCATCAACAAATGCATGATTGGGTGTTATCAGCTGGAGTCAACTTTAGGAGGGTAAAAAATTTCCAGCTGGTTCCAAATGATATCAGGATAGGGTGAAAAAAAAAGAAGTCAATATGTACTCCAGCATCATCCACTGTCCTATTTCTGCTGAGTTTCACCACTGAGTAAGACTTAGCTCATTGACAAAGGCTGGGAAACTAAATTTTTTGATATTTTCCTAGTTCATCCACAAATTTCAAGAATTTTTTCATGAAACCAGCAGTTGGTTATCCTTTTTTGCTATCTGTGATTGAATAATCAACTGTTTGAATTGCAATGAAATTCCTTAACTTCCCCATATACTGCACTTTCCAACTGTATTCCACTTATTGGGCATATCCAATAACACATAGCCATAGCTAGTCCTGGCATTTGACCCCCTGAACATAATTTCATCTAATTATTGCTAATGACTTTAATCCTGGTAAATCCATAATCCTGTAACTTCCCTTGTACATATGATTCACCTTGTATTACTTCATGAGGTATAACCACAGGAAAGAAGAGAAATTCTGAACTTTATAGCCACTCTGTAGTAAGGGTAGTCATGAAGCTCAAAACTTTCTCGAAGATGTAAGATTTCTATGTAAGAAAAATCTTACATCTTTGTAATCTTACATCTTTTGTTTTTAAATGCCAGTGCTAGAGAGTGCCAAGTAAACAAAGCACATGCTAGAGAGTGTCATGTGAATAAAGTAAACTAAAGGGAGAAAAAGTGATGAGAAAAAGCACAAAATTTCAGAGGAAATCTCAAGTGAATCAGAATTTCTTGGTTGGATAGACATTCCCATGATAAATGACATCCATGAAGTCAACATCAGGCTTGCTAACCTTTAGGTCTCACATAAACACATAGACAAATATTCCCCTGACAATAGATAACATGGAGATTCAGCATATTTCACATGATCATAAGAGTGATTCAGGGCACAGAAAAGTTAATTGATAATTTATCCAATTTCTTCCCAGCAAGGCAATGACCTTCCCTTTCACTCCTTTCCATAACCAGAATAGATGGTGAACTGCAATGGTCCAACCATTATAGGCATTGCTTTTCATACCAATACCACACATCTGGACAGTTAAGACTGAAACAGCATGCTAATATGTACATCAGTAATAGAGCATTTGTGTAAAGGAGATATAAAACTCTCCTGAAACTATGAAATTGGAGTAGGAGAGGGAGAAGGTTTGAACTGAGCCATGATGGAACTTCTAGATTCAGGAAAATGTATATATAAAATTGATGAAAAGATTCCTCACTTTACAAAATTACTCATTTTTTTAAATGTCAAGTCTTGCTTCTTGGCACAAGCCATTAATATTAGATAGCTCAAGACCATCAGGAGCAAGAAGGAAGAAGAACCACAGACTTCACCATTCCATTGAGAAGCAATTAAGTATCCAAATATTTAATACCCCATGCATGCCATGCAAGAAAGACACGTGTCTCAGCAATCTCATGCAAACTCCCTTAATTGTACCACTCACCAAATGGAGTTACATAGTGGATCACCCCCAATCACATCCCGCACAGATTCAGGAAATAGACAAGAAAATACAATTTAACCATTAGTTGATGATAGCAGCATAAAATGCTTGATACTATTGGGGGTTGGACTTTGATATGCACTGCTCTTTGAGAATCATATGTGAATATAAATGACTTAACTCAAATTGTCCAAATAAACTGATGACAACAGCATTACTTTGAAACCATCATCTTCTTCATGAATATAGTCAAATGTGCATATATGATTTACATTGCACTAAATCAGAAGCCTTTCTTTATGTCACATTGCTCTCCTTTCTCCACAAGAACTTGAGTGTCTTGAAAGACTTGATGAGCTTGTGCTCATGGAAATATGCATATTCCTAACTTCCACATTCCAAGATATATGGCTGGGATGCTCTCAATCCTCTTCCAAATGCTGTTTGGTTCCTGCTCAATGACACCCATACAATATGGCTCAGTTTGAGTGCCACAGAAAGGAAATGAGAAAAGCCACAAAGAAACTGCACACTTGATAAAAAGCAAGGAGTGATCAATTGAGAGAAGGAGTTCACTGACCTTCTTTGGACTTCCCCTTCTTCTTCCCTGGAACTTCCTTTTCCTGCAGGAAAAAGAGACAACAGAAACATATGAACTCTATGAAATGGGTGAATTATCCAATTCTTGAACAAGCAAGAAATTCTAAATAACACAATCATGACAGATTGAAAAAAATTACATGTCAGCCTTTTAATAAAACACACCCTCTCTACTTGCATTTTTGGTTGGGGTTTTCGTGTCAGAAATACCTTAATGATTTAAGGTATTTCTGACACGAAACTTTCCAACACAAAATGGAAACAAAGAAACATTAATTATGAGTTATTATGAAGCCCCCTTCATAATAACTCATAATTAATGTTTCTTTGTTTCCATTTTGTGTTGGAAAGTTTCAACCAAAATTAGAGGGGCAAACAGCTATAACTGTCTATGCAGAAGATACAAGGGACAGCTTTGCCTTCTTGTATCAGTAAAGGTACATCTTGACATTATTCTACCTCATTGGACTACAGTTCTGCATCCAGTGATGAATGTAATAGGAATCAAGCATGGCAGGTATGCTGGATAATTGCACCTTAGAAGAGTAAGGTGATGGTAATGGTTTTTGAGACTGGAGTTATACAATTGAAGTCATTTTATAGTACTACTGTGACAAGTATATAAGGAGATGCAACTGACAGCATCTGCTATATTGGCTAGAAATGTCCAAAGGACTCTTTTGAATCCTTTGGACATTTCTAGCCATTATACTACTGAATAAGAGGACATGAGTCTTTGGAGATAATTCAGGAATGTAATCATGCCCAAATTCATCAGTGTCTATATATCAGATACAACCAATAAACAAGTTTGTCCCTAAATTTTTGGATACCACCTTGAATTAGGTCATCCAATTCCCAGATTTCAAAAACGAAAATATGAACACCAGACCAATATTCACTTCAAAGCCTTAAAAACTCAAAGGAAATCTCATTGATGATCATTAAAGCCAAGGACATAACAATCCAGCAATGCACGCCTGAAAAAATATTGAAAGAGACATGGTGGAATGTCTTGAACCAAATCTTTTGGTCCAAATGCTTTAATAGATGAATTCATCATCTTGTGGCATGGAACCACTTCCTCTTTTTCTCCTTTAGTATAGAGACCCTGTTTCCATTCATCATGACTCGCTCCCTTTATGCTCTTCTTAGCAAGATCCCTCCCTTTCATGTCACAGTAAGGAGTTTCCTTCCTCTGAAGAACAGATATGAAACTCTTGAGCTTCAAAGCAATTTGTCACTGCCTTGATTTTGAATGTCACAACAATGCTGGCATGCAAGAAATAATCCACCAACATCTCTGCATATCATATTCCAAAAGGAGTAAAAGACCACTAACTTTCCTCTGAACATGTGTTACTATCCCATGGATAACAGCAGAAGAGATGGAAAAATGGGAATCAGACATAAGACAGGTGAAATGGGGAAAAATTGAGAAGAGTGATTGATTTCTGGCCTCCTGTGGAATATGATTTGAATAAAGAGGGGAATGAGGGCTAGGGGGTGGGGAAGGGCCTCCTGTGCAGAAAGAAGCAATATTTGCAAACTAGATGCACATGGGCTCCATTCCTCCATTCTTTCTCCCCCAAAAAATGTCACCAAAATGTAAATGCAATGGAACTCAGAGCCTTGCACAGGCCTTGAGATGGATATCCCCTTCTGGGTTATGACTGCAGCATGATCATGCATCATGCATGACCCCTACACAGATGCAGCTACTTGCTGCAGCTGGTGGGTTCTCTTGTGATTTGATTCATGGTCTCTGCCTCCATATGCACAGTGCACCCCAACAAATACTGGCACACTTTGATATCAATGGCCAGAGCAATCATTTTCCCCTGAAGGAAAGTGTAAGCACAGAAAGGGGGACCTGGATACAATTCAGAAAACACTTTTTTTTCAGAGGGGCTTTCATGCAGATAATCCAACCCCATGATACCCAGACAGGAGATTATGAATACCTTACACATTATAACATAATCATGATCAGAACCACCTTATTCTTAAACAACTTGTAGGTATTCCCTGAATGGGAGGTTAATTGGTGCATATTGAAGCATGTTCTCAAACTGCTTCTTTACTAGACAGGGTATCTCTAGGACCCCTACCTGACTGGTGAGATACAAACAAAAATTCATACTAGGATGATAAATGCAATCAAACATATGAAACCCAGCTCCTTTTCTTCTTCTCTTCTAACTAGAATAGCAAAACAATCCATACTTCAAAAACTTAAGCAGCACCTATCAACTTCTACTTCAAATTCCAAATTCAACATATCTAATCTTACATCTACCAAAAAGCAATTGGGAACATCAAAATCAGGGTATCTTTGATGTATGCCAAAAATAAAGAAAATTCTCAACTCAGATGACCATGAGAATAATCCATCACATCATAGATATTTTCTGAAAAGCACTGTGCTGGCTGTTTCAAATCCTGTTTTTTTTTTTTCAGTAGCTCATCTGGACAGATCCTCAGGTTATTATTTGATAAGGGGTCCAAAGGACCATTCATCTAGTGTAGCTCAAGGTCAACAATTCAGGAGCAGTATTTTCAGTGGTATTCAGTCAGCATCAGATCACTCACCCAGAATATCCAGAGAAACACCCTTATCACCATAAAATGCGCTATTATTTTAGTCATTAACTACTTATATAATCATAATTTAGTTTTTTGCAACTAGTCAGTAGTAAGTGCTAAAAGTAGAGGATAGATTCCCTACATAAAAAAATAAACCTTCATAAGTGAATCATCAAGTCTTCATGATCATTCTTCAAAGGGTATTTTCAGAGCAGTTAGAGGATCTCATTTCTCCTTGCATCATGTCTTGACCTATGGACCTCTCAAACTTCAACCATATGCTATTTAAAGAAAAAGAAAGAAAAAAAATTTGATGCATAGCAAAATCTGTCAATCTTCAAAATCTTCAATTATTGTCCTTCAATTATGAGGTCTCCTACAGATCATACCAAAGAATTCACAGCACAATTTCCTTCCTGCAGCACAGCCCTATTTCAACTGGAATGACTTTGTCAGTATCAATCTTGACCATAAAGCAGGAAAGGTATAAAATGCCTCTAAAGAACCATTCAGAAAAAAGGATTGGGCACAGAAGCCAGGTATAAGTAGTAGAGGGGAATTGGCACTGACAAGCAAATGAATGCTTCTCTCCACCCTCTGTTCATGGACTAGAAACCTATATGGCCCAGATCATATATGAGGTAAAGCCTAACACAGGCAGCAGAACCACCCAACAAACAGAGGACACTAAAAAAGGGGGGAATCTTATAATGGTGTGGTAATCAATCCCAGTTGTGGACTCTTGCATTAAAGATAGGGTTTGAGGTAGGAAAATTTGTCACATTTCATTGATTATTTGTTTGCTTGCCTTTTTAAAATAAGTTTTCTGCATTATCATCCCTTCCTTTTTGAGCCTGACAAAATGCTTTCATAAGCCAAAATCAGCTCATATGCCTGCTGATGTATATCTGTAACACCAACAGAGCATCTGTCCATAGTTATGCAAAATGACCTTCCAGGAGCAGGACTGTACAGTTCTTAGTGAGGTGAGAATGAGAGAATGCACTTCAAATTCACATTCCTGATATGCGCAACAACTGCTTCATGCTTGAGAGATGGCTATTCCCCCCCCCCCCAGTCTCTCTATTTACTTCATCCTCTGTCCTCACACTAAGAAATAACCCAGACATGCTCAGGAGAATGAAGTCTCAGTGCAGCAGCACTACTCTAGTATTCAAGGGGGTGGACCTCTCCAACCATGCAAAAGCATTCAAACTTTTTTTTCTGAATGATATAGTTGTGAAGTGGATTGAAGATCGTGAGATGCATATTCACTCCATTCTACTTGCTACACCACAGATACCAAGAGTCGCTTGCCTCCATTCATAACAACTTCATTCAATGGATCTATGCACCAAGGACCAGGCATCACTACCAGAAATGAAAAGTCTGCACTGGACTAGCAAAAAATAAATCTATCATGAAGAAAGAACTGCCAGAAAAAAAAAGGACACAGCTTAGAAGAAAAACCTAAGAGACCTTTGATGCTCGGTTTTTTGCATTGGAGTTGATGAAGGAAGTGGAGATAGAGGCAACACCAGTGGAATTTGCCTGTTTCACTGCAGGAGTCCTGCTCTTTCCTATCCCCAACACCTGCCATACATTCATGAAAATTGGAAACAGTTTTAATTCCTCTTGCAAGAGTCTTCTTTTTCTTATGGGCATTGGAATAGGAGAGCTCTAGCATACTCAGCACATTGAAGATCTATATCACAGAATATATAAAAACATTATAGGTTCATCTGAATCGATTTTTTCAATTTAAGATATGCTCCTTATGGTGCAGATCATGTACAGCTTCATCTAAACTTAAATATCGGTAGCTCTTTTCTCAGAATAACTTTGATGAAGGCAGGATGGGAATATTTTTTGCCTTAGAAAAAAATTAGTTTGGTTCATATAAGTATAGACAACACAGTTTTCGTAATACATCCACATTCATGCTGCCACAGGTTGTGCAACTGGAATTAGCTGCAGTGGTTATCTAATATCAGAGACTTCACATTGCTAACATGAGGTTTTCTCTCATTCTGTATCATTTCACTAAAAAAAAAAAAAGGCAAAAAGGATCTAGGAGGGATGTGATGTTTGTTTCAGTTGTCTCTTAAAAACAGCTAGTTATACAAATTGTACACCATAGGGTAAATCAATATATTGGACAGAAACACTCATATCTACAAACAATGTTTACAGTGACAGCCACCAGATTCAGAATGCAAGTGATACAGTAACTCCTACAGAACACATCTTTGACTGGTAATCAGCCAATTGGCAGACAGGGGCAATATAATCCCTTAACCCTTTGTTTGCCACTGAATCAAAAACTATACATGCTTTAAAAACTTTGGAAAATAGATTATATTTAATCGAAGCCTGAACTACCAAACTACCAATTTATTCAGATCAAATTGTTGAATAGCACGTCTCATATGAATAAAAAGTTTCATATGGCGACGCAATAAACGAAAATGTAATGTTAATTATTTATTTTAAAGCACCTGGAGAAAGAGTTCATGTTTGGACACATGTGGAAAAAACACCTTCACAGTACTCTCTTAAGGGGTCCCCAGGTGAAAAGAGGAGACACCTGGCAGTCAGGGCAGGAATTATCTCCTTTTTCTGCGCTCTGGACCTATTGTTGGTTCAGTATAAAAGAACTAGGTGGACATTGACACCAATAATTGATTTAAACGTGAAATGGTTTTTCTACGCTTCCCCACGATTTTCAGGTCATTCTCGGACAGAGCATTCTCTTGGATGCACCCTGCCCTAGAAACTCTGCAAGCACTTTAGGACTGTAATGTTATGGCATGGAAGAAGCAAGTTTCAGTGGCAACACTACACGCTTGGCATGTTCAAGAAGATCCACTTAAAAGCGTTCAATGCTTCCGTCATTGTTATGTATCTGATCATGCCCACTTTGAACATTTTTATGCAATAATTTGATTTTTCATATTCTGCATCAACAACTAGTAATTCTCTTGCATAATGAAGCTGAGTAGAGCAATGTATGCGGTAGATACTCTTTAGAAAGGAATTCAATACTGCAGAGGTTCCCCGGAAATGACGTGCCGGAAGATATTGACAATGGGCAGCGCTACACGGTAGCAAGCCCCCCCCCCCTCCCACTTGATTTAATGCCTCAAACCTTTCCATGGCAAAAAATTTTTGATCTAAGGGGGAATCTCTAGGATCAGATACGAAAGATTGATATGAAAATTTAAAACCTGGTATAGAGTAGGTGAAAGACACTGGAAGACAATAAAACTTTTTCTTTCTGTTTAGGCAGAGTCTCATGCCATGACAGGGCTCAGGAGACTCATCGATTATGATGTGGCCAGGGCTCTTCAGATTACATCTCCCCCCCCCGCTAAGGAGTCCCTCCGGAAGGGGACAGAGAGGAACTTCTCTGTCTAGATATCTAGATAGGAGATCATGTAATCCCTCTATGTGTGGCTGGAAATGGAATCCTGCCCGTGATATATATAACATAAGGCCTCCTCTTTCCCTAGTTCCTCTTCTCCTTATCACACTGTACCAGAGGCGCAGACAATGCCCATTCCCATCCCTAAAGGCCTCAACATGTCTTCCTCCCTCCATTTCCCCGTCCGGAAACGGTGAGGCATAGCGTGGATACATAACGCATGAATCTGTAGAGATGTTCAATATTCGAAATAAACTAGGGCAACCAATGCATACTCTATACCAGGTTTTAAATTTTCATATCAATCTTTCGTATCTGATCCTAGAGATTCCCCCTTAGATCAAAAATTTTTTGCCATGGAAAGGTTTGAGGCATTAAATCAAGTGGGAGAGGGGGGGGGCCTAATGAATGTTGACGTTGATATCCCCGGGAGACGGGTGAAAGGAAGGTCATTAATCATGCAAAAATCAAGAGAAGAGCAGCAGAGCTCCTCCCTCCGCCTAAGTCCGTCAGTGTCCAATGTCAGCAGAGGGAACCCATTTTTGGAAGGGGATCAATTGGGGAGGGTTTTTGGTCCTCCCTCATTTCCCTGCAGAAAACCGCATTACGGAGACCCCTTCCCTTAATGGAGCCGAATTGAAAAGCCTCCTTCTATGCCATGATGGATTCGGCGAGAGCGATTAGGCAGAATCCAGATCTAATCTCATGCCGTCGAGCCCAGGGGAATCCATGGGCATATCTCTGTCTTGTAGGATAGAAACCAAAACAGGGGTCTGTACATATACCAGACCACGTGGAAAGAGGAAGGGAAGGGCATCGGACTCGGCTTTTCATATGCAAAAACAATGGGAGCATGGCTCTTTTTTTTTGGCAAAGGGGGGGGGGGAGATGTAATCTGAAGAGCCCTGGCCACATCATAATCGATGAGTCTCCTGAGCCCTGTCATGGCATGAGACTCTGCCTAAACAGAAAGAAAAAGTTTTATTGTCTTCCAGTGTCTTTCACCTTTTCAGCTCTTTGTCATGTCCCACATGACAGTCGTTAAAAGCATCAAAACATACAATTATTTTGCATGAATATATTACTATATCACTTTTTAATGTTTCTTGCACCAACGTGAATAGTGGGGAAAATTTCAAGTTTGTGTACGATGGTTGCAACAAAATGAACAACGTAGCGTGCATTACCAGCTATTTTTGTGCAATTTAAATTGGAGCTGGCGGTGAATTACGTTCCAAAAAATCTGGGATTGAAAGGATTAACGGAGGAGTTTTTGAGAGTCCCAGAGGACAGCAAAGACGTTTCTCACAGACCACAAATCATCCATTGCCAGGCTAAGTTGGCATAAGTCTAAGCATGCTTTCTTATTTACTTATTTTTTAGTTATAGAATTCTTTTTTGCATTTCTGCTTTCGAGTAATCGAAAGACGGCTAATGTAGCTGGATGAAAGAAAGCCTGCTTAGGTTAAGGCTTGTCTGAAATAGGCCATGATAAATGCAGTCTAGGGAACATGGTGTCTTCTGTATGGAACAAACAAAACATCCCAGCTGTAATAACTGCAGAGCGTGCCTGCAGCAAGCATGAGGGGTAAAGTGGCCATGGAAACGTTCAGCGAGACCCCGTCAATAAACGTCATCTAGTTTAAGGGCACTCAAGGTGATATCGAGGGCAAGAGGACGGAGAGAGGAACCGGTTATCGAGAGAAAGAGCCTCCTCTCTCATTCATCTCATGAGACAGGGATCCCAATTACGCAGCTGGAGGATCCCACAGGGGAAATCCCCACCACACACATGCTTCCGTTGAGCAAGTTTTCCTTTCCATCTAGCGCCTCCGATCGACGACTCTCTCTCTCTCTCTCTCTGAAAGTGACCTTTTGACCTTCACTGGTGCGCACGCTTTCCATGTCTAACAGAAATCATATGAAGACTCTTGAGACCTCATGGAGTGAGGGATATGGATCCAGCGTCAGAGGAGAGAAAACAAAAGCCCAGGCACAAAGCAGTCAAGTCAAAGAGGGTGAAAGGAGGAGGCTTAGAGCAAAGAGGGGCAGCAAAAAGAGCAATTTTCTCCTGCCATGTGGGGACTCTGTCGAACTTAGCCCTTTACAGTGACCTGTCAATGAGGAAGATGGGGACAAGAAGCGTCACCCCTACACTGCCAGACGATATCAAGCCAGGGCAAGGAACGAAAAGAAAATTTTTGACAAGAAACTCCAGGAAGGAATTCAGTCGCTTCGTCAATGACAACCACGGCTGGAGCATAAGGACACCACGAAGAACAGATGAAGGACAGAACACAACGGAGACCACCATAGAGAATCATCACCATCGTGGCCTCTCGGGAAATCATTTCCAAGTGTTTCCAGGGAAATCAAATCGCCTTCGAAAGGAACATTCCATTCCGAGGGCGAGAAGATTGATTTTGAAGACAGAAAATGTGATGGCATATGTGCCTTCCTACCCTTCGGGGTTGAGGGCAAGGGCACTCGAGCGCGACTGAGAACATGGGGGGCGGATTCCCATTGCGGGAATTCTAGCAATGGAATTCGAAAATGACTCGCCACATTACACAGTCGGACCGAATCCGTTGAAAGGCAGATCCCACTTACTATGGCTCGATGCTCTTTTTCCCCCAATCTTTACAGAAGCTCATGTTTTAAAACTCTTGAAGGGATTGTATGTCCCCTTCCTTTTACCCTGAAAGGGGATAAGCTCGAGCCAGATTTAGATATCAAACAACATACACGACGGGGAACAGGAAGTATGAGCAAACATGGTCCTCCTGCATCCGGCGAACCCAGACTGCTGAGTGCAAACACGCCGTATCTGATAAGCATTTGTAAGCACATTTAAGGGGTTGGTCAAGAAGGAACGCGATAATAGCTCCTTCTATCATACTGAGAGGGTCAATGTACTCTGCAATGATCGTTTTTCAATATCCTGATGAACATAGATAATGGAGAATTGTACAGCTTTGCCTCATTGCCGGTAATCAAAACGTGTTGCACTGAATCGAATGCGTAACTTGAGCTAATCAACCAAAGCTGGGAGAAGAGGAATGGCATGTCTTTTCATCTGCCTCTACCCAACTAGAAATCAATGGGGGAGATCGCACCGGACCTAACGTGACGCTAGCACTAGCACGATACCAGCGTCTATTGGAAGGAG